TCATATTTAAAGTTTTCATACACCATTTATATTGATATTTTGTAAAAGTTTTTTTTATAATGAATGTATAATCCGTTATTTTTGGTATAATAATCATTGCTAATCTATTGTTATTGTTACATCTTCATATGTGTATTTTGCTAGGTTATAATTTGTATTTAATATATTTATGATCATAATGAAGCAATTAATATTTGCTTAATTAATGTTTGATTATTACTTCCTGTTAGACATATCCTCTGTTGATATTTCCCCAAAAAATGCATTATTATTATTATTACTCGCCCAAGACTTATTTGTTTGGTGCATTAGAACAATGTATATGTGAATATATTTTTATTTATTAAAAATACTAACAAGTTTCTTTCTACGTCATCTGAAGTGTCCAAGGAATCATAGAGCTACCTCTCCATCTACATTTTCAATAGATTATTAGTTCGTCAAAGACTAACATAAATAGCAATATTTAACTTTGTATAACAAAAAATTATAACATGACTTTGTATAACTTTAGCAGCTTGTATAACATTCGGCAAGAGTTACGATTTATTTCGTTTACGGAACAATTTTAAAATTTGAAACATAGAGTTAAATAAAGTTAGTGTAACTAGACTGAGCTCAAAATCTTTAAAACAATTTATTCCGTCTATTTTCGTCGACTTTTAATAACCATTTGAGTTTTGAAACCAACCATTTTTTCGATGAATTTTATTAAGTTGTTGTAGTGATTTAAGATTCAAAATTGAGATTCGACACTTCTTTATGAAATTCCCTTTTGTCAAATTCCATCGCTCCTTAGAACCGGAAAAGGGATGTACTGCCGTATTATATATTTGTGGAAATTGTGCATAGTGTGTTAAGTGTAAATATCATATTTATGGAAAACGCAATTGAAAGTTCGGTATTTTCACAGATGTAAGTTAAATTTTTGAGTTTCAACGCAGGACAAATGAATTCATCTCTGTAATACCCCAACTTAGCCCATTAGGCATAAAAGAAGAGGTAAAAAATAGATTTCTAATGATACCCATAGAAATTCACAAAATTGCACTTTACTCACTATTCGTAGATACCACAGGTATCATATAGTTATTTCCTTTAAAGTTTTGTTGAGTATAAATACAGTAAAATATAAATCAATTCGTTACTTTTGTCTACTCCATAAGTTATTAAAAATGATGAAATTTTGCAGTCTTGTATATTTGACCACAAACAACTACATATTTTCCTGATATGATACTTTTAGAACAACTATACGTTTTTTTGAAATTTGAACAGTAGGTTCAAGCTTCTCATTAGTTTTTCGATGAACATTCAGACCGTTTCAGAAATAAATATCTCCGTTTCGCTTTTAATTTAGAGTACTGCGAATTTTATATTATTTAATTCTTGCAACGTCAACTCGATCATTATTTAGAGTACTGCGAATTTTATATTATTTAATTCTTGCAACGTCAACTCGATCATTTCTTGTATGCATTAAATTAAGAGCAACATAAGATTATCGGTTGATAAAAAATTGACATTATGTTCAATGAATTTTTTTTAAAATTATTTCTTGAAGATATTGACGATTGTAAGCACCTTAACTGTGATGAGGGGCACTTAAAACTTGTGAAAGCAGCGAGACACGGCCTTCATAATTAACGCTACGACAAACTGAAATCAAACTGTTTAGGATTCCGACGGTAGAGAATGGAAGCTTTGAAAGTGTAAAAATAAGCAAGCCCTGGAGATACGGAAGAGAAGATAAGGGGGGGGAGAGGACAAAGTTAGGGCTGGTGTCGGTTATTTAGGTGGCGGTGGTTTTGATGTCAGCCAGAGCAAAAGCTCCTTTTTAATTAGGTTATAATAAGGGAATAAAGATGGCCACCTTAAGAGGTTTTATTAATTCATTATGGGCAAGGCTTATCTATCAGCAACTTTCTTACCAAACTTTAAAGATTTATGTACATATAATTAAAAGCTCTACTGCCCGCTTCTCGATCCCCTCCGCGCAAGTTCTGTCCTAAATAAAAGCATGCTTGGTACTAATAATTACCTCATTAATTTAGTTTGTAGAATACTCTTGAAATAGAAATAATTCAACCCTCTCTACCGATTATTTTTTAAACAACAGATTACATAAACAAATAAAGTCTTTCATAGCAATTGGACTATTATTCAAGAATCTTTTAAAAATCTTTTCGTTAATCCAAGATGGCGGCCGGTTTGAAAATCACTCACAGTTTAGACTTCCAAGATTCTCGAAAATAACCGAATGGGTCCGAAAGAAGATGGAAACTACCGATCTTCAATTATTTATTGTAAACTACCGGCCATTTTAAGAGGGAAACTTTTTATTCTTATAACAGCGAGTAGTAATTGTTAAAAAAATTAAATAAACATAATTTGTAGGATTCCAATTTGATTCTCAGATTATTAACAAAATTTAACCATAATTACGACACTATGAATTTTCGCAGTGATCAATTTTTTTTCTGTAAAATATAATGCGTATCCTTTCTATACAAAAATTATTATCTCTCATTTTTCCATATCACATTTTATAAGAAAGGGGAATTTCAATTTATTTTAATTTTTTTTCCATATGTATTTTATTATTATAAGTATAACGGGGTATCTATGAGAAGGGGGTAAGAATTTCCATTACGTATTTTAGCATTTTTTGTTAAAGTCAAACGAGGTATATCAACTTATTTATTAGTTGAAAATATTACGTATTTTTATTATATTACGTATAAGAAAGGCGGAAATGGCGTAACCTAAACAACTCTTATAAGTCACGGCAGCTCTATTTAGGATGTAAAATATTCGACTACTTTCGGCATTCTTTGGGAACCTGGGAACAGTGTGATCTGTCTGATCTTGAAACCGGTCAATTATTATAGCACATGGATTTGTTTAAAGAAGTAAAAAATATTAAGTTTCTTTGGAGAATAAACATCAAGGTAATAGTTTCGAATAGCTACTCCAAAATAGCGCCATTTCAAGATCTTTGGAGCTCACTGTATATGGAATCTCGAAATCACTGGATGTGTCCGATAGTAGGAGCGACCCCAGAGAAAAATGTAAATCGTAGAAAAATGTTTACGCAAAAATAGGTTATGTAGTTCAAGTCTGTATCAGATGCATTTTTGTTTTCAAAATAAATCACAGAGTGAATCAACTAATCAAAATTTAGGTGAGCTATTTGCCGAAATTTTCAATTCCTCCTAAGAAATAAATATCGAAATGTACATTAATAACAACTAACAAATAAAATTAATTGGATGTTCTATTTTATTGTTATCCTTCCGGTTTATTAAAAACTATCTCTAATTATGATACAAGGTATAAACTAATAGTGATTAAATTGAAGTACTGATGCAATCAAATTTAAATTTGTATTTTAAACACATTTCTCTGAATTCTATATCGTATAATTAATAATTAATATAATGACTTCATAATTTATCTTTACTGAAATGTGTTTTCAAACATGATGAAAAAATATATATATCTCTTTCTTAGTACTTAAATCACCTTCAGAGCATTTTAAGAAAAAACATGTTTTCGACAACTAACTATTTAACATAGCCTATAAAAGTAAAATGGGATTTATCAATATTTATAGTAAAAGGTTTAATGGCACAGAAAATATTATTTTATAAAAATACAAACATATTTAAATTCACGAATAAGCAGAAAATGTAAAGAAAAATTCTAAATTAATTTTCTCCAAGTTTTCAATTCATTTAACAAAAATTAAGTACTTAAACATTGTAAAAATAAATCTTAAAAACTTAAGAATATAATCAAATCTAAGATTATTTCAATTAAATACTTTTAAAATTATTAATGATCCCATCAATTAAAGCCATATAAGTAAAATGACAAGTACTATTCTTCAATAAATATGAAAAAAATTACTTAAAAATTACAATTTTAAAATACCTTTTTTTAATTTAATGTTTGAACTTACGATATATAAGCAGCAGAAGTGATTCAAACTAAGATGAACTTCATCTTCAGTGTTATATTTGTTCACTTACCTTCTATAACACTATATTTCACTAATAATTACTTAATTACTTAATAATCACTAATAATAGACTTAATTTAACAAACTACTAAAGGATTTTTTAAAAAATACATCCGAAAAATTCAGTTTTTCCAAAAAATTAATCAATTAATTGTTTTTAAGAAAGCTCGACAACATTACAATCATCATAAAATTATTTGAAATATAAAATTAAAGTAATTGTTATTGAAAACTATATAGGGTGAAAAATAAGTTTATTTTTATATTAAGCTTTAAATATGAATAATTATTTGCTTTCTGTTTTTAATTTTAACCTTCCTGTACACACAATGATCTCTGACTTCAAAGTAAAATTTGAGTCGTTTTTCCTTAATTTTTGAAGAATATTTTTTTGAATGAGATACAACGAACAAGCAATTTATGATTAACTTTTGTTTTTATTAAAATAATTATATTCTCTTCTCTAAGAAACTTTTCCTATTATTTATTTTACAATTCTTAGAATTTCCAGTAATATGTTCCATATTGGTGTAAAATAAACAACAATTTATTGTCTTTATTAAATGAAGAAAATAAGATTTTAGGTAGTGTGATATCAAATAGGTTTTCAAAATAAACACATTTACATTCAATGACAGAAAAAAAAATTTAATCTGAAAGAAAAACTCATATTAGTACTGCCAAATAAACCAGTGTAAAGATGAAAAACTACTTGCGCTAAAAAGATGCTGATGATGATGTAAACTATGCTCTCTTAGCTCAGCTGAATGTGTACAAAGGATTAAAATAAATTTTAATAAATGATATTTAAAATAACTATAATATGAGTAAATTAATGAAATACATTTGTTTTACATTAAAAAAATTCTACCTTGGAAATGTTAATGCATAGAAAATAATGAATAATAAGGAATATAATTCTTCAACTGGAAACCTAAAAGAAAGAAAAAAGAAAACAAATAACTAGAGTACTCACATTTGCACAATTCCCGCTTCTCATCTTCTCCATCATGGCAGTCGGGGAAACCGTCACAGAGAGATGAATTATGGATGCACCTTTTGACGTCACATACAAATTCATTTGGAGCACATTCTGCAAGAACAAAGAGTAGAAAATATGAATAGAAAAGTGCTGAATATTTAAAAATAGAGTCATATTGATGCTCCTATTCAAAAACTTAAAATGAGAGTTTCCAATTTTAGTATATTTTATACAGGATGAACCATAAGATAAAAGAAATATTTAAAGGGGTTGATAGCAGACCTCAAGAGCAACAAAAATGTTCATGTAAACATTGGTATAATTTTCCCCTTTAAAGTAGGAAATTAAAGTTTTGTGTTTTCTTTATGTAAACAGTTTTTTTGTTGAATAGGAAGTGATAAATAAAAAATATATATAATTTAAATAATTAACACATATTTCACCATAAACTAGACAAAATTTATTTTAAATGAAAATAGTGTTTGTCATTGTTAAAACCATTTAAAATTATCTTTTCTACCACTAAACTAAGATGAGTTCTGTTTTAAAAAAAACATTAAATATTCAAGATTTTTTTTAAAATACCTTCCAAGTATAATACAGATTCCAAACTTTGAGGTAAAATTCCTTGTTGAATAAGATGCTAGTGCATATTGATTAAGTTAAGGTATAAGAAAAAAGTTGAGATTCATGTCAAGTTATATAAAAAAAAAAATGTGACTTGATATCCTGTCACTTAAAAATATCCATGTTTTCAGGAAAAATCTCTAAAATAAATTATTGCAAAGCTTTAACTCATTTTTCTTCCCATTACTTGGGATATATTATAATAAACATTTTTTTTTTTTATTTCTTTATGACATTTACAACTGTATTACATAAATACATCAAGTAAATTTGGACATAATTGATATAATGACATGAATACACGTGCTGAGTAACTACCCAATGGTAGCACTCTAAATATATAATAAACATAAATTCATAAATACGATTTTTATTTACAAACAAATAATTGTTAAAAATAGTGATTTTTTAAATATTCATTATTTTAAGTAACATCAAAACTATGCTTTTTACCCAGGTCTTCGTTATAGGAATTAATCTGTACTTATAAATGACTAATTAAATGTTCCTAATTCTAATATTTGTTATCATGAATTCATAATTCAGGCAATGATGAGGTTTCCTTATTTTAAAACGTAAATATTAGGATTAAGTACATTTAGTTTATCATTTATAAATATGGATCAATTATTATAATAGAGATCTGGGTGAAAAACCTTGTTTCAATATCACTTTAGATGATAAATATTCCAAACATAAATTTTTTTAACAATTATTTTTTATATTGATAAAAAGCATATTTATACATTTTTGTTTATTATAAAATATCTCAGGTAATGGAAAAAATAAATTAAAGCTTTTAAATAATTTATTTTAGACATTTTCGCTGAAAAACATTAGAACATTTAGATGAAAGGGTATCAAATCACCTAATTTTTTTTACACAACTTGACTTGAATCTCACCTGTTTTCTCTAATAAACCTCAACTTAATTAATCTGGAGTTAAAGCTTATTAAACAAAGAAGTTTTCCTAAAAGTGAGGTATCTTTAGTTTAGTTGGAAGATGTTATAAAAAATTAATGATTTTTCTAAAAACACAACTCATCTTAGTTTAGCTCAAGTAAATTCCTTTTTAAATGCTTTAAAAAAAAATATTACTTACATTTAAAATAAATTTTGCCTGATATATGTTAAAATAAATGTTAATTACTTAAATTAAATAACTTTGTAGCTAGAACTCTCAATTCAACAAAATTATGTTTACATTAAAAAATGAAAGTTTAATTTCCTACTTTTCAGGTGAAAATTGGATCATGTTTATAAAAAAACTTTTTTGTAGGTCTTGAGGTCTGTTATCCGTTTAAATATTTCTCTTAACTTTCAGTAAACCGTGTATAATAAGAGTGAAACTATGTCTATCTAACTTTGACAGTTCAGCTTCTTTTACAGATATCTGAATTTCAAAAAAAGTATTTTTCAATTATTGACAATCATTTTATAAATTTAAAAAATGTTGTTATTTAATTTAAATTATTATCATGAAGAGGAACTGCTAAATATATTTCCTAGAACAAAATAGACCAGTGAACCATCATAAGCCATTGCGGAAATTAATTATATCTAGGAATCGTTAAAGATCCTATCCCCACTCCTTCCAATAGTATACAAATGAGCTTCATCATTAAGACAGGTAACCTTGATGAAAATAATCCATAATAGTTATTATTTAGGAGTATATTTTTATTCAATTTTATTATATCATTTTGTAACAATGTTCAAAAATAGCTATTTTATACTAGTTTTTTAATAGTATTTTAGTAAAGGTTAAAATGAAAGATAACAAACAAGCAAAATGTTTTGAGAAAGTTAAATTTAATTTAAAAAATCAGAGAACAATCGACAGTTGTCAATTAAACACGGCTATAATATTGTGATATGGCTTTAATTCAGTTTTTCCTCTGAGATATAGCACTGGTAACCTTCAGTAATTCTTGTTACTAAAGTAAAATTAAGAGTCAAAAACCACATTTTGATAAATATTTACAAATGTGTGTTAGTTTGTATATTAATTTAAAGCAATTTTATCTAAAATGCTATTTACAGGGAAGTCCTGTGAAATAATTTTGAAAGAACGATCATAAAAAAAAATATTTGAAGAAAAAATATGTTTTAATTGATTGTCTTATCAAAATATTAAATGAAGTAACATTGTTAAAATTGATAATAAAAAATCACTATCTTTTTATATAATAGTTTAACTGTACATATAAATAAAAATAAATTATACATCTATTGTCTTAAACCTTAAGAATTACTGTACAAATAATTATTTATATTATCTACTACAATACTGTGATATTAAGAAGAGGTTAGATCAGTTCAAACTGGAGCTGTTAAATAATTAGTGACTATATTAGGGTAACTAAATCTAAGTTAGCCACAGTTACTACATGAAGCAGGGTTGTACAAAAGCGATTAAGAAATGATCTCATGTCCATTGATCCCAACTCCAACTGTATCACACTAAAACCAACACTCAACTCAACAAAAGCACATAAAATTAATATTTACTATAACTATGAAAAACTTCAACAATGTTCAAAAAGTAATGTAATAATATATTTAAATAAAATATAGAGCTACAGTGTTTATATATCCATAAATGTTTTGAATAAGAATGTATATAAATAATAGGATGTATTAAGAAATGAAAAAAATTATTTATTTTATTTTATCACCTATTTTTTACTTTTAATAAATGTATAATTGACATTTTCTGTTGTGGTAAATACTTTAATAATGATAACAATGTGTGTATTTCTGATCATATAAACAAGATTCAACATTATTAATTCAAAATCAATACTTTGACAACTATAAAATTAAAATTAACATAAAATGAGACATTTAGCTCAGCAATACTGCACATTTATTACAGTTTTTGTTTTGGCTTGATATCTACAAAATAACCAGAGTTACACCCAAAACATGTTTTCAGTAAAAAATAAAATTAAAAATGGCTGCCGAGAAAAACTGTGAGCCTTAAAATTTTTTTAACTACGGCTTTGAACTCTCAAATAAATATGGAATAACTGGTAAAAGAATTATAAAAATCAAAAATGTCAAGCAGCATGGTCTGGGTGATTTCAAATGGATTGACCCTCAATGGATAATAATACAAATCTTAAATGTATTCGTTCATAAATTCTATAACTTCAAAGTAAAGCTTTGAATTTGAAAACTTGGAAATTGAATGTGGGCCTGTCAAAATCATTTTATATGTGTTAATAAACAGTGTTTCCTAATCAAGTAGTGAACCTAACATCTTTCATGGATCATTTGATTTTTTAAATTGTATTTATTTATGGGAGAAACCAATTGAAGAGTCCAAGAGAGAAAGAGGAAAAGTCATTTGAAATGCATTTCAAGAAAATCAAATTTTAAAGTTTGGATCTTTTAGAGATGATGAGTGGAAAGAGTGGAGTGTACTTGAGGACGGAATACTTTTCATCATCTCTACACATACCACCTGACCACTCACATGTTTTTATTTATGCCCTAATTAAAAAATGCCAATAATCTCCAGTCACTTTAAAATTACATACTACCTCAAGGGAATACCATGAGATAGTTTAAAAGAGCCTGATAAGAGGGGGCTCCCTTCTCATATATGACATCACACTTCAACCTCACAAGAAGAGAACCCGCTCATGGGTGACCTCTGGAATGAGGAGGAATGGAAGAAGAAATCTGAAAACTGAATATTTTTGCTGTACAGCTGGATATGATATGTAAATGATTCAAGAATAGAGAGAGCAGGGTGGCCGAGCGGGCTAACACATGGGCACAGCACCACGCATTGCCCGCCAACCTGATAATCAAAGTTACAGATGATATAATAACTACGAGTTTGCGTCCAGGTGCCAAGAGGGGGCTTTTAACTCTGGCATTAATCCCTTGCCCTCAACCCCTAGTTTAGGAGAATATAAATAAATAAAAAAATACTAGTCCATCATCACCTGGGCTAGATTCCGTCTCGACTCCTATATGAGTTCACCGTCCTTAAAGGGTTAATAACTTGAATAGTTTTCATGGTTTTTATTTTATATTTTATTAAGTAACTGAACATCACATTGTGGTTGGGAAATTTGAAACATTTTTCACAAACTCTGACTAAAGCGTGAGTTACATAGAAATATGTTTTTTATAGATGGATGGTAAATAAAGATATATAGGTTACTTATGTTTTTAGTTACTTTTTTTCATACATACTGTAGTAGGCATCCCCCTATATTCACTCCTTTATAGGCAACATTGTGTGAGGGAATGAGAAGGAATATATAATATATAGGAATTTGAGGTTGCACGATGAATTGTACTCAATTGTGCAGTGGACAAATTTGTTGAAAAGTCTCATATCCATATCAATAAACAAAAAAAATCAATCATATCGATAAACAATCGATGAAGAAGGAACAAGGTCCGGTCAGGTAACAGCAGCTGGAAAAGATGCCAGGGAGAGGGAGAGAAGAGCCAGTCACTTTAGGCCTGGACACGAACACGGGAAGACGTCATCTGCGAAGAGAGGCTTACTACATTGAAGACTGAGAATATGAAGCCTACAGTTATTAGACTTTAATATATTCACTTATATCAGTTGTTAAAATAAATTGCTTTGTTAGACAGGAGTGAATAGTCCTTTTATTTAGTTTTCCTATAGGCCTCACAATTGAAGAATAAACCAGGTGAGTCAATCAAGTATTCTTATTGTTTCTTCTCACTCAGTGTCACAAAAGGTATTAGATCCCCAAATTCCCAACAACAGTTAAACACCCTCAAAAAGCCTGTATCCAGTGCCGGGGTTTTATTTTAATATTCAGGAGTGTAAATAACCCAAGTCCCCGATATAAAGCGGAAGGCTATTCCCCTGTTCCCATCAAAACATCTTTATTTTACATTTAACTTTCAACATGTTATTTACAATACATAGCACTTCAAAAAAAAGGTAATTAGATTATATAGATTGTTGGTAAGATCAAAATAATAAAGAGAATGAACTGGCTCGAATTGCCTTAATATAATGTGTTAATATTATATTTTTCATATAAAATACTATCATACTTGATAATATAATATTTTTTAAAAAGAAAAAGAAAATTTTAACAACAAAAAGATAAGCGATTGGAAAATAACATTAAAACATTCAATATCTCATCTACAACTAACTGATGAACACTGTTATCATTTTGATAGATTTATTTTTAAATGCAAACAGCAATACATCCTAAAGTGGTATTAAGAATAAAATGGATTATTGTAATTCGAGAAGGAAAAGGCAAACTATTGAAAGATTAACTTTGAAAAAGAAAAAAAACACAATCAAAATCAATGAATAGTGGGGGCAGTTTTTCCTGAAATTCTAACAACTAAGAATATATAAGAAAATAAATAAAATAGCTGAAGTTAAAACTTCTCTCTATTTATTATATACAAAAACTTCATTTTACATTGAAACGAAGAAGATATTAAAAAAAAAAAATCTTCAACAATGACTATACTTTTTATATTTACATTTATCTAACCGACTTTGTTTTCTTTTTTTATATGGGTATCAAACAATCCAACCAACTGGTATTGTCCAACATATTCTGGTTAATGATATTAACATTTTGACCTGTATAACTCCATATTAAAAAAAACACTCCTCTAAAAAATACTGATACACTCATTTTTTTCTCATGGACTCTTCAAATGTTAACTGAAATATAGAGATCATTGAATAAAACAAAATGTAAAAATATAATATCACTCGAAGAATGTGTGAATAGATAGGAGAGAACAATACATATTTACTATAAAAATAAATTGTGAAGGCTTTGAAAAGTGTTTCTACTATAAATTTCCCTAAACAAATAGTTCTAATGAGAAATAATTTCTTAAAGAATCAAGCTGATGAAGTATAGATTAAAATTAAGTTCATCATAACATTTAAGCATACACAATAGATTTCAACTTCAATTTTCCATGAACGGACATGTTTTGACATGAATAGTTCAATAATCAAAATATAACCATTCTTTTATGTTTAAAAATAAACAGACAAAGGTTAATTTTTCTTGTTCAAGGCACTAAAGAAAACTGAATTTATCCATTGTGAGAGAGGTTTAAACTAGTTTAAAATAAAAAATGGCACAAATATAAAACACTTTGTCTAATCGAATCTGATAAGCATTAACAAACCAAGATCTTTACTATGGTTTTTTGATGAAATGAATTTCAAACTGTGATAAAAGATTATCACGTTTTGTTTAAGGAAGAATCTTATCAGAGAAAGCCACTTATTTTTATTTTAAAAATGAGTAAGAATGGAAAGTATCCAAAATCAAAACTAATTTTCTATTAATCAACACCAAAAAGGATTATGAATTAAAAAATTTTTTTTGTTCCAATTTACCTAAACTTTTTGTTTAATAATGTTCTAATTTCAATAAAATGAGGTTTGTGTAAAAAAAGTTTCAGCATTAAGTGATTCTTTGAAATTTTCATGGTTATTAAACAAAACAAATGAATTATAAAATGCAGTTTGATACACCTATTGTTAAAAAATAATACTCACCAATGTTAATCTAAATAAATACAACTAAATACAAATTACATCAATATAATACAAAATAATGTTAACATGTATACATTTAATGAAAAATGTGGTTAGACAATGAATTAGGATGAAAAAGATGATAAATGTCACTCGCACCATTTAGACCTTAAGCACAACCTCCAACAAATCATTAGATCACATTTGTTTCGCAAGTCATAAAATGAAGCAAAGCGGAAGCAAACATAATGCATACTCCTATGTTTGATAGGAGTGACCAAAAATAAAAGTGTATCGGAAACAAACCAGGTATACAATCTTCTTCATCTTCTCCCGATGGACAGTCATTCTCCCCGTTACACCTTTTTTCAGGGCAATACAATACATCAGGGTGATCACGGCAGGGTTTCGGTGTAGTGTCTCCTCGGCAATTCAGTACAGGTATATATGGAAGTGCTTGCACTGTTCTCAAATGATCATCATGTGATGTGGGAGCTAATGATGAGGGAATTCCTTCAGTCGTCGATGGAGAGAATGTTGATGTTTCAGTACTTGAGGATGTAGCTAACATTTTTAATTAAATTAGGAAAATTTTAAACATATCAATTCGAAATAATAAAAAGTTCAAATAAACCTAAAATTATTTTAAAAAATAAATAATTTTAAAGGATTCTTTATCACAACAAACCATGTCCTCTGTATTTTAACTTTGTTTATTAAAATTCAGACAGATTAATTGTAATTTCTGAATAAAACTAAGAAAAGAAAAAGAACTAAGTTTTATCAAAATTATCATCATCAAAGAATAGGTAAATCCATATTGTATTTTATAAATTAATTTCACACGGAATCGCAATGATAATTAAAAACATGATTACACAAAAATGTATTTACTGTTTAACTACAGTTAAACTAAAACTATTTAAAAAAAAAAAAAAAGTATGTTTTATTGAATATTTAATAGTTGACCATTGTATTAGAAAGGAAGGAGATGGTCAGAAGTGATGGTCATAAATAGGATAAATACTGGCAAAACTATTTTATTAAAAACCAACGTTTCGACCCAACTTTGCAGGTCTTCTTCTGGGAGGTGTGTTCAGCTAGGAATTTCACTTAGAATTATAGGCAGTTCTAAGTGAAACTCCTAGCTGAGCACACCTCTCTGAAGAAGACCTGCATAGTCGGGTCGAAACGTTGGCTTTTAATAAAATAGTTTTGAAAGTATATTTTATGTTAGAATTAGTAACATTATTAAACTGTTTGTTTGAATCATGTGAGATTCTTCAGTTTTTCCATTTAGGGGAATGTGTATCAAAATCTAAAATAATTACTTGTTTCGTCATGAAACAAATTTTGTCTTGTTCAGAGAAAAAATATGGAGATGAAAATAATAAATTATTCTTTGCTAGGAGGAACACAAATTCCAATTTTGATCCACCAATCAATTTAAAAAAAAAATCCTTCGGTCTTTTCCAAGAATCGACTAAATTGTATAATGTAGAGTGCACTTTTCATAAAATAGAAAAAAATATCCAAATCCAACTTAATCTGTTTCATGAGTGATATATAAAGTAAAATAAAAAGTAAACAAGATTTATTTTATTTATTATTTTATTTTATGCAATTTGCACCTGCGCAGCTGCGCATCTAGCAAATTTGTTGTATTTTTATTGTCTTGGTGTAATTGCTTGATTTTTTTTTTTTTTTTTTTTTATTGATGTAGTAGGTCTCTTGGCCATTTTCTTCTTAATCTTCGTTGCTCAGGTAACAGGGAGCAGGAGATAGAAAGAACCAGAGGATTGGAGTGATTTTGGGTTGAAGAATGAAATGTAGTGTATTTGTCGTGGATGTAGGATTTTACTGTTGGGATGTTTAAGTCGTTATGTATAGTAGTGTTTGAAATGTACCAAGGTGCGTTAACAATTTTTCGTATAATTTTTGATTGTGCTGTTTGTATTTTGTTTATGTGTGTTTGTTTTGCTGAACCCCAAAGTTCTGCTCCATATGTCCATATTGGTCTCAGTAAGGTGTTGTAGATAAGTCGCTTGTTTCGTAAGTTAAGTGAAGATCTGTAGTCCAGAAGATGTGAAAGTTGGCTATATCGTCTAGTAAGTTCTTGTCTTTTTAATTTCGTATGTATGTTCCAAGTAAGCCTTTTGTCTAAGTAGAGTCCAAGGTACCGTACATAGTTCTTTGAAGGCACTGGATTATTGGCAATCGTTATGGGTGGACATGAGGCTTTCCTAAGAGAGAAACTAATGTGGGTGGATTTTGTACTATTAATTTTGATTCTCCAGTTTTCAAACCACTTTTCAAGAGAATGAAGATGGTTTTGTAGGGCAATTGATGCGATAGTAGGATTTTTGTGTGAAGATAGAATAGCAGTGTCGTCAGCGAAGCAATAAATGGTGGTATTAGGGTGCTCAGGGATGTCAGAAGTGTATATAGAATAGAGGATTGGGCTCAAGACGCTACCTTGTGGTACGCCTTTGTGTTGGGGAAAGAAGGAAGATACAGAAGAGTCTACGGAAATACAGAAAAATCTATTAAGAAAGTAGGATTGAAGAATTAAAAAATAAGTGGAAGGTAAGTGCGGTTTTAGTTTCCATAATAGGCCCTTGTGCCAGACACTATCAAATGCTTTCTCTATGTCGAGAAAGACGGCAGAGCAATATTCCTTTTTTTCAAAAGTCATAGAGATAGCATCTACTATCCGATGGCACTGTTGCACAGTAGAGTGATAACAGCGAAAGCCAAACTGGTGATTTGGTATCACTTCACTATATTCTAGAATAGGCTTCAGTCGGTTTAGTAATAGTTTTTCAAATAGTTTGCCCATTATTGGAAGAAGTGCTATAGGACGATAGGATGAAGGAGAAGTGGTAGGTTTTGAAGGTTTGGCAATCATTTTGATTGTGGAGAGTTTCCAAAGGAGAGGAAAATAGGTAGTGCGTAAAATGGAGTTATAGATATGTGTAAGAAACAAAACAGCTTTTCGAGGTAGGTGTCGAAGAATGAAGGGAGTGATTAGATCATAGCCAGGAGCTTTTTTGTTTGGTAGTCTGTTGATTTCTTTGTAAATTTCTTTCGGATGAAATGCCGGTGGGGGTAGTGATAAGGGTAGTGGTGTTGTCAGTTCTTCTTCTATTGCGTCAGTAAAATTATTGTCCTGTATTCTGTTTGTCCCAAATACTTGTGCAAGATATTTAGCGAATTCATTGGCTTTTTCTTCGCTTGTTATTGCCCAAGTGTTGTCTGTACGTCGGAGAGGGTATTGAAGGTCTTTTTTCTTTAGTATACGTCTTGTTGTTGTCCATATTGATCCATTTCTATTGTTTATTGTGTCTATGTAGTCTTTATAGCTGTCATTTTTAAATTTTAATAGTTTTTCGTGAAGTTTTCTAGTTAGTTTGTTGAGTTCTGTTTTGTACGATGGATATCTAGTTCTTTGCCATAGGGCTCTAATCCTACGTTTTTCTTTTATAAGATTATGTATTGGCTGAGGTAGGTAAGAAGCAGGTTTAGTGTATGTCTTTGGTGGTCTCGTTGAATGCCAAATAGCCTCTTGTATACTTTTTGTTAGGTCGTTGACTGCATTGTCGAGGTCGTCAGCTGTACTAATTAAAGTGTTTAACGTAATTTTGTTGTTTAACAAGATTTAAAGCAAAAAAAGAATCCAAAAAATTAATTTTAAAATAAAACAAAAAATATTAAAGTTGTTAAGTAAAGTTGTCTTTTCATATGACAGATTGTCATGGGTAGACAACATTGATCAAAAAGATAAACCTCATCGCTGTTTATTTAATTGTAAATATTTATCATGGACATTTTTATATCAAGTAGTGTGCTCACTAGGTGTTACTATCATCCCCAGAAGGGATAAAATCAAACAAACTACCATCATTGACCAGTTTTTTTGTAATTATTGTTCATATTTGGTGTCCTGCTATTTTTAATTTTTTCAATATTAGAAGAGGGGGTAGCAGACAGACTCACCTCTCCTCTCCCCTTCCAGTAATACCCATGAGTTACAACAATCTACAAATAAATTGATAATATAAAAAAAACAACTGCTATGGCGTGTATCAGAAAGCTTTTACTCTTCAGTCTACTCATATAAGGCTAGTTAATATTTAATTTATTAGTTTCTAGTTTTGATCTTTTCCCATTAATTATTCTATCCTTATTTCTTGCGCAAAGATCAAATTTAATGAATAATCACTCTCACTTTGTAGTGTTATTCTTTATTATTTTTATTTGTATGTTTCAGGGATTCTTTGTACCCTTCTTCAGCATATGATTTATTGGGTAAGTCTTAGTTAGTAATCAGCTTGGTCAATGATCAAATATTCAAATAAAAATTTGAGTATTATTATGACTGAATTTATAGGAATAAAGTTATTACCATATGTTTATTAATCTACTAATGAACAATACTTGAAATATTTTGAGCGGCATGTACTTACCTCAAAGAAGTACAATGAAGTAGTTTTTAAACAATTGGGGAAACTATATTCAATGAATCTACTATGAGCTTATCTTTTGCTAATGACTTAGGTACTGTTGGAATATCCACTACAGAGCTGAAAAATGCTTTTCGGAAATCAGGTTTCAGATAGCAGCAGCTAGAGTAGTATTGGAAATAAATGAAGCAAAACCCAAATTTATGCATGCAGGCCCACAACTAGATGAGCATGAACCATCGTCCTTTGTATCGGAGGCTATTCATTTGTAAAGGTGAAAGAGTTTGTCTATCTTGGTTCACAAGTAAATACGGATAATGAGATACAACCAGAGACCTATCGCAGAATTATGTCCACAAATAAATACCATTTCGGGCTGCTAAAGCATTTCAGGAGCAGGGCTGTTTCTCGAACTACAAACGTGCAGTTGTATAAGACCATGGTAAGACCAGTCCTCACTAATGCCTCCAAATGGTGGACATTCTAGTTCACAGGAGACCTTTCTAAGGTTCGAGAAAAAAATATTGAGTAGAACCTCCAGTCCAGTTGGTGCCAAGGGTACCTGGAGAATACGGACAAATACTGTACCAACCTGACTTTAGAAGAGTCCAAATATTGTAAGGTTGATAAAAGAAGGACCCCTTCAATGGGCAGGACATTTAATTAGAATGACTCCAGATCAGATTCCTAGGATGGTCCAAAATAAAAGGAGTTAAGAGACAAGAAAAAAGAGAAGATCTCTGCTACGATGGAACAATGGAGCAGCAGCAGAGGCAAGATCCGTCTTGGGAATACACAACTGGAGAGTGACAGCAACCATTACAGAAGACTGGCAGACCAAGCTGCAGGAGACTTTGATTCTGAAAAAGTTGTAGCATCACGCAGGATGATGTTGAATAACAATGTGATGCATTATATATTTGAAGTTTATTGAGATTAAAAATAATTGTAACAGTTTTTATTTGCTTGGAAATTTCATTTGGTTTCCATGTAAAAATATTAGTTTTCCAATGATATTATATGTATTTTTTACTTTTATTTCTAGAACTTTGTTTTCTGCATGAGAAAAGTTTTCTCCTTTTTTTCTCTTATTCTTAATTATCAAATTCTTTCATAGTTTTATATACATTTTTCTTACAATTAATAAACACCATGAGAGACTGTTAGCGAGGATCAGACCTACCATAAAAATATTTAATTATACACAGCCATATTAATATATATATATAAAGAGGCAATTCAGGTTAACCAATTATGATGAAACAGTTCTGACATCTAAGGCATATACATACTTTTAAAATGTAATATCAGTTTCTTATGACGTTTCGTTTTTGAACTAGGCTGTTCACACACATACGATCTTCGGGGACTTGGTTGTTTGGACTTGAGGGACCTCAAAAAGTGTCTTTCAGTAACACCTTGGATTTTCCTAAATCCCAATACTTTCCCTTACTATATATTTCATAAGGGGTAAGCGAAAGTGAAAAGTTGGTTATGGTCAACTCTCATTCTAATGACCAGTACAGATAATCTAACTAGAAATTAACTTTTTGCACAGTTAAATCGACTTCATTGATCAATGTGGTCAACCAAAGAAAATCTGTCAGTGAGCTGTTATGTTAGTTTGCAACATCAACAACTTACGTGGACTGCATTCCTCCTCATCTTCATTATTTGGACAATTTCTCTTACTATCACAATATTGTGAAGATGGAATACATGTATTTGATAAGTGGCACACAAATTCATTGTCATTGCAAGTGTCTAAATAAATTAAAAAAATAATTAATAGAAAAAAAATATATAAAATGAAATAAAAATTAAAAGAAGAAACTTTGCATTAGTATTAAAATAAAATAAAACTAGTAAGATCAGAGAAATATAATAACATGAAAAGAGTTGTAAAGAAATTATCCATTGGTAGCGCTCTAGTAAAAGAATAAAATAAAATAAGTAATACTTAAAAATAGAAAAGCTTATTCATAAAATTTTATTTAGTGTAGATATGAAGAAAAAAAATCAGTGAAAATGTATAAAAATTCCTCCTGGGGTAGAAAATAACAAAGTCTACCTTCCATAATGATATTAAAGATGAGATAAACTGAAACAAGAATTAACACCAAAAGTCCTGTCTAAAGAAGGAACTCACTTTTCAAGGATATTTTGCTTATATAATTAAAAACATACATGAATAATACAATTTATTCTCTGTGTAGGAAACTAGTTTTAAAAAATAAACAGGTATTTAATTTTATGAATATTAAAATAGATATCACAGAGTGAACTTCTGAAAATAAAGCAAAACAAACAGTACCTCTGAAAATGCTGAAGGTGAATTCACTATCATCAATTGTATGCGAGCCAATTCTTTTTGTTGCTATTTGTTCACGAATATGATTCTCTATTTCTTTGGCTTCAGAGAAATTTATTGAATTGAGATCCAAAGTCACCCTTACAAAAAATGTGTTCGGAGTTCTCCTGCAAAAATAAAATATTCATGAAATTAAACATGTATTTATTAACTTTAGACTTTATTAAAAAATCACATATAATTTTGATAAGTTCTATTATACATTGTCTTTTTGTAAAAAGACATAATTAAAATAATAGTTTCTATATATTGTCCATTCGAGCAAAAGTGTTGCTACGTGGCATTTGGGGTTTTTAAAGTTATCGGGATGCCACTGGATAATTATCCAGAATTAATTAATAAAATATTAGTTAAACAAATTATGTTATTTAACATATTGGTCCATGATTAATTTATTGGATTACTTCTCACAAAGGCTTGTTGTGTGTTTATCTGTTTTCTAATTACCAAACATTACCTGTGATTTTAATGATATCAATAGGTGGCATGATTAAAATAACTTTTATTTACAAATTATATAATAAAGAATTTGTATATACATTCTATTTACAAAATTTAATGAACTAAACAATTGGTTGTGAAGGCATGATTCAGATGGACAGAATTTAAAATTTATATTGCCATGAAATATTTTGACATTTTTAAAATGAATTGTAACTTATCTATTATGTTACGCAAAGTGGTGGATTTGGTAGATGTCATGGCTGCATCTGCAAAGTCGAGATCATCTGGTCATGGTTCAGGTAGGGCCTCCTCAGGGCCGGCAGCTACATCAGATCACACCTCTCGTCTCTCTTCTATGCCGGGCAGTCGCATAAGAACAAAAGACTCTTCTTCTATCCATCTCAGTGGATTTTATTCCAATATCTTGGGTAGGACAAGAATGGTTCCCATTGGTTCAATTTTTGTAGCAGAAGGGATGACCATTCCCCTAGCGATATGTTTAACACACCCCTTTTAGCAGGTACACGACCGTTTCTTCCTTTGCTTAGAGTTAAATGATTTTTGATCCTCTTTAAACATAAGACTGGTCCTTTGGCGTTTTTGGCCATGCTAAAAGGTTGTTGGGGGTCTCATGTATCTCGATCACTATCTAGGTAACCACTTTCCCACGTAATTATGATGACGGTCCTTTGGTGTTCTAGCGGTGTCTATCCTTTAGGGTTCTTACGTGTTTTCTTGCCACTTACAAAAGGTTGCTAGGGGGTTGCAGGTATCCGCCCAGGTGTTAAAAATTATCTTTAGGATACATATTGGGGAAAAGAAAAAATTAAATAAACTTAGTTGATTTAATTTTTTCTTTAAATATTATTAATTAACATTAGGCTATATTCAATACATAGCAGTGTATTGAATTCTGATCATTTAATATATCTTATCTTTTTTTTTAAATTTATTTATTACCAGATCGGCCTGGTGGGCCTTACATGGTTGTTGTAACAATTTGATGATTTTTAACAATTTGTTCTGGTGGGGTATAGTCTTTGCAAAAGACACCTCTAACTATTTATACATTATAATTATTGAATAAGTAGATAAAGAGAAAATTATTAATTGTTCATAACATGATGTCTTGGATCAGTCTGGGCTTCAGTCTTCGAGATGAGGTTGGGTTTCCTAAGTTGTAGGCCACTGCACCTTTAACTGCTGGTAGCTGCGTATGGAATTTTTTAAATCGATATATCTTATCGATATGTATAATAAATAGCTAAATAAGTCAAATTTAAAAATAAAAATGATACTAACTCTACACTTATCACTTCTGCTTTCTGCTCGCCTGGTAAAGGACTATAGAGATCTTCAATATCGGATTGAAAAGCTTTTGAGAATGATCGAAATTTTTCACTTCCGCTGGTTTCAAAATAAGGATCGTAAGGTTCTTCAACAAGCAATGTCATTCGATAGCGACCTGCAATAAAAATATTAATTATAAATAATGTTTTTGTCAATACATGGTCTTTTTATTTTTTTAAACTTATAATAGGAATTGCAAAAAATAATAATACTGTTAAATGGATGTTTATTACATATCAGATGGTTAATATGTGTAGGGGGCTTGTACGCTTATCTTAAAATAATAGAATACGGAATCACTTTTCAATTAAAATTCGACCAGCTATTAAATTTTATTTATTTTTGTTTTTGTTAATCAAAACTGCCTGAAAGACATAATATTATGTAAATGAGATTCAATAATGCAAATCCATCTTGTTAGTACAAAACTTAGTAAAGTCATACTGCCAACGAGAGTTATAAATTCTTGCAATCTATCACAGTTCTGATAATGAATACATTTGTGGTAAATCGAGAAACACAAGGCTTTAGAAAACCAAAAATAAATTAAACCAATCAAAGTAGATTTATATTATTATAAGTTAATTTAAAAGTTCAGAACAATGAGTTCCAGAAAGTAATACATATATAATAATAATACAAAGACTATTTAAGGTCAAAAATTTACACTGAAACCAACAGTTTCAAATCAGTCATACTTACTTTGTTGTGAGGGGCTAGCGATTGGTGTGTCGGGTGGTACAGAGAATGATGGTATCTCACCTGAACCGTCATCAGGCTCACCTGATCCAAGACCGCTGTCTTCGTCATCAGGTGGAATGATGGTAATAATTTCATCAGGACTACGTGTCTCCCTGGAACTGTAGATGTTATTTTTAAAAATATGTAATAGATTTTCAAAAATTGAAATTGTATAATTTCTTTAAAAAAAAAAAAAAATGGCAGCTTCAAAAAATAAAAGACAAAATTGCACCTTTTTCTGCAAGTGCTCAGTGATTAAATTACTGATATAGTCTGGGTAGGAAAAGTAGAAAACTAAAAAAAAAAACATTAAGAATTTTGACAGTTCAAGGACTGATATTGTGCTATTTCACTTATTTCAAAATTTTCTCACAATCTTCTGAATATCAAGGACTGATTTTGTGCTACTTTCAACCTCTGTAGATCAAAACCAAAATCATTTCTCTCCTCTCTTATGATTTTTAATAAAAGACCATTTGAACAAATAATTATAGGGGTCACTATTAATTTTTCTATGTGATAAAAATTTTTTAGCTCTAAGATAAGTTCATCTTACATCCTTATTTTTTGGCTCTTCGATTAATAAATTTAAATCATTTGGGATTGTTATACTAATGATTCTGGTCATTTCATTTCAAAAAGTAAATAAAAAGTTGCTCCTCTCCCATTGGGATAAGATTTTCTCAGCTTGCAGCCTTTTGGGTGCCATAAACAGGTAAGATCAAGAGTGTCCAGAAGGGAGTTTCATGGAGCAAGTTGCGCCACAAAATCTTTGAGGGAGGGCACATTTTGATGGTGTTTTGAGCTTTTGTTGAGGGGTACACATTTCGATGGAGTAATGAATTTTGGATATGAAAAGATTTAAATCAAAAGATAAGTGAAAGCATAGAACAGACTGTAGATAGCGTAATTGTATATAATCTACAAATTTTTAAATTCTACTTTTGTTTGCACTGTTTTTAAAAAATGGAGAACAATAAAACATCTTGGAATGGGTGGGGGAAAGTTCATGTGCTATCAACCTGGAGGAGGATGGGTACCCCTGGGTAAGATAGTTTTTAGAAACTTGAATACACCGAGAATCTTGTTTTATATTCACTGTATCATTACACATATGAAATATTAGATTAAAATTCATGATTTTAAAAAGCACTGAGAGATACTGACCTGGAAGATGAAGTCGCCTCTGTAATTAATGGAGTTGGTTCTGTAGTGGGTTCGGGCGTTGTTTCCTCTTTGCTCCCTAAACCAAACCAATCGAATTGCCTCTTTACCCTGTTCAGTATCCTGGTGTAGAGACCTTCTTCGACTTCTTTTGGTGGTACTTCCTCAAAAATTAAGTCATTGTCAACCTAAAAAAAGAAGAAAAGAATTATAATTATGTTAGCTAATGTATTGAAATAAGAATCGATTGAATTCTAAAATATCACAAATGGTATTTTAAATTATTCACAAATATCTATAATCCAATGCCTATTGATCATAATTCTTGCCACAATATGTTTAATTATATTTTATACATTTCTTTTCTATTATTTAGTTCTGGGACCATAATATTTCAGAGGTGGAAGAAATCCGAAATTCTGAATATGTTAATTTTCATCAAATTCCGCTAGATTTGAGTAGGCAGAATGTTTTTGTGAACTATTAAAGATAAAATTGACAAAATGTTAAAAGAATAATTAATGAAATTTGATGTAAAGAGAATATCGACAGCCACACTGCAAAAGCCTAGAAGTGCAAAACATAAAATCATTTATCAGGTGAAATAAACCGCATATTTTTACTTTCACTTACGTATATATGTAATATATAGTAAGGATAAGTATTGAGATCGAGAAAATTTTTGAATCTGAGTTTTAACGGAAATAGACCTTTTGAGGCACCCTGAGTCCAAATAACCAAGACCCACAAAATGGTCTGTGTGTCTGTCTGAGTGTATGTTAGCAGTCTAGCTCAAAAACGAAAAGTAGTACGAAACTGATATTACGTATTTAAGATAGGTATATGCCTTAGATGTGACAACAACATTTTCCTAAAAATCGGCCAACCGGAAGTACCACTTCATATCAACGCTGAAATACATTTTTACAATTTTCGCTAAAACGGCTCTAACGATTTTGATTAAACTCGGTGTATCATTGTATAATTAAGTGATCTTTAATATCAATCAGGTCTTATCCCCATTGATGTCACTTTACAGGGTTTAAATGCCCAATGTTTATATACACCTTTCTCTAAAGTACCTTTAATATAGTTTATTTTAAATAATTAATCATCTTAAATTTTAAGAGTTACGAAAAAATAGTATATATAACTTTTGAAAGAATCTGATAATTGAATAAAGGAGAAAAAAATAAAAATGCTTATCCAGGTCGAAAATGAATCTCCGGAAATACTAGTCAGAAGGTATATGTAAAAAAAATATATACATAATAATTTCTAAAAACTAACATTATTTAACGTAAATCACATGGTTTTAAGGAAATTAAATGAAATTTTCTTAGTAAATGTATACTTTTAACATTTTGTTTTAAGTTTCAAAAAATATTTAAGATCCACGGATTCATGTCAATGACACTATTCAAGATACTATTTCATTGTACTTGTGTGAAAAAAGAAGTGAAATATAAAAATATTTCATGATTATATTTATAACCTTAAATATATTTACTGTACTTGTTAAGGTTCTCGAGTAACTCTAGATCTGATATTATATTTAAATAATTAGGTATCTATCGTCCGTTCATTCCGAAAAATCATCATGTGACCTTTTAGAAAATTAAATTAGTGAATAATTTGATGAATTTTCCCTTTGTGATACTTAAGACAGTATCCATTTCCAATTAATGTGACAACTTTTGACCTGTCTGTGGCAGAAAATGCAAATCTTTCCATTCCATTATAGTAAACTTTGCAATGGAAAACAACAGTTTAATAACTAATAGTCGTACAATCCATAATCAACGGATTGTACAATCTATAATCAAACGGGGAAATAACAAATAGGACTTATGTTATTTTAATAGTGCTTATGATTTGTTCGTTGCAATCTTTTAGCTTTAGCTCGGTTAAAAATGCAATTCAAAAATTTTATGAGAGCCCAACATGGCCAGAAAATAATTTCTATTCAAAGTTGAGCGGTAAGTGAAAGTTATGTGTTGCGCGCACCAGATATTTTTTCTGATAGTTTGGAATATCTAATTTTGATTGTTTAGCCAAAAATAGACTTTTCATTTTGATTATTTTTGCTAATATATTATAATAATTCATGTATTTTTGTACATATACTTTTGTATGTAAACATGTTTTTCTTTTTGTTTGTTTGAATTTGTTCCACAAATATGATTGATCATTTATGTTATCATTAAATAAACATAATAATACACAATTATAAATATATTGGAAAAATGGTTTAAACCATCCACAGAGATTTGAAGTAGGCAGATCACGGAATATTAATGAGGATACGGTCAAATATTTACTATATATCATAACGATAAATCGATATAAGTAACTGTGGTAGAAATGTGCAACATCGAGTTTAGGGATGGCCGATATTCGATAGTACATCCGATAGTCTTAGTGACTATCAATTTTATATACTTAAGGAAATAATTTTAATAACACGCCTTCATTCGACTACTTATTTATTGATTTACAAGATATAGTGGTAATATAAGCATGTAAAAGTCAAATGTTTGATAATGGAAAACGGTTGTTGTATAATGGAAACTCCACATTAAGAAAATAAATGGATAGAAGTCTGAAGGTGTGTTTAAAACTATTCTTATCAGTATATAAAACTGAAACTAAATTGAATAAGGTAAAAAATTATTCAATCTGAAATTACTTCCATAGAAATATTTTTAGAACTCCAGTTGTACCGATAGAAACATTGTTAAATATACCTCACCTTTTTAATTTTTTTTCCATAAAAACAATAATAAAATCTACAAGAATGCCATTACAGTTTTAAACTAGATGTTATCCCCACATCCCCATCTCCATCCCCACATATATTATTACAGTAAGACGGTAAATCGGTTTTGTACCAAATATAAGCTCATGTCATGCTCAAATACCATGAATGGGGTACCGTTGAATTCAGAATTTCACGGGGGGTTAGCGAATCGTATTGTCCACTTTTGTTTTTCTTTCTAAAATAAATAAAGTCGATACAAACATTTTGCTAGGCTTCAATACTCGAACGGTGGTAGGTCTGTAGATCGATACGGGATAAATTGGATCTTAAAGATTTTGATGCGCACAGTAAGACCCGGAACTATCGGATCCTGCGTTTTTAAGCCCAAAAACGTACTATTTTCGAGATAACACAAGGCATAGGGTTCGCATCCACAAAACCTTACATTAATTGTAGTACTGTCATTGAATACATGTCTCATTTCATCGACTTGAGGTCTCTATGATCGAGAGAGGAGGAGTTTATATTATTTATCGATGGTGTTTTTGATCGGTAAGCCATATCATCGTTAATTCTTCACCAAATCTCAAGATTGAGCAACCAATTTCGAAGGCTTCCTTCTTCTTCAGGCGTACAAAATAGTCCAATCATCTCGAAAATTCAGGCAAACAAGTTATGAAAGAAAACAAACTTTGTTTGCGAAAAACTGTAAAATTACACACTTTTCCCTTGGTTATGCCCATGATTTTATAAAAGATGACTAAATTCCCTACAAAATGAAAAAAAAAAAAAAATCATCGAAATCGTACAATTTTCAGCAAAGATACAGCTCACTGAAATTTGTAAATATGTTGATTCCAAACAAAGATGAAGGTTTAAATTAATTTTTGTTTCCTTTGTCGATTATATTTATCGATAAAGGAACAATTGATTTCTTCATCTTTTGATACGTTGCATTATTTTATTTTCTTATTAATTTGGCATTTGATAACAATGCTGTGCGAATTCTACGCACGGGCCTAATAGTCAAATTAAATTTAGAATCTTGAAAATTAAAAGACGCGCACATTTCTCGTCTCCTTTTTGATAATTAAAACAATATTACTTATATGTCGTCGATGTTTCTTATTTGAATTCAACAATCAGGCATATTTCCTTAATTCCCTTCCCAAGAAATGTAATAGCTCTTCTCTTCTTAAAAACAGAAAAAGTGGAAATAGAATTAGAAAAAATTGTAGATCATATCAAATTAGCTGTGATCTGTTTGAAAGTTCCTCAAAATTGAAAACAGTGGTTCCCTAAAAAATTCATGACCCCATAAAAATGTGGCAAACCTTGAAAAATGAAACACCCCATAATAATATACCACCTTCAAAATATTGATGGTGTAACTTGCATAACCACCTCTGGGCACCCGTTTATACAGCAGTGAAGTTCAATAAATATATTTTCACAACCAAAATAAAAAAAAAGTTTGAAAAAGAATTTCTCATTTAAGAAAAATAAATATATTTCAGAAAGTAATTTCATAACAATTTCTTTAAAAGGCATCCTAAATAAATGAGCATCGTTAAACTGAGAAAATGAAGCGAGAACAGAAGTATATAGTCACCCTCCTACGCGGTGGGTAGACAATGGTTCTGGCGGGAAAGAGACGCTTCTGGCGGGCTTTGTGCCGGTGATCCACTGCTGGCTTGATCAAGCACTGCCTTGAGGATTTTAATCACGTTGATGGCCTGCCCCTGATTTGTCAATCCCAATGGCTATGGCTTCTGTTTTTTTTTTTGTTTTTTTTTAACGTTCTTTTCCTTTTAATGGCTAGACATTAATTGCTAATACCACTCCACTAGATTTGTCTAAATATTAACTCATATTAAATTTCAGCTTAGAAAACAATATATGTATAAATATATTAGCTTTAGGGTTTCTAGTTTTGTGAAAAAGTTCCCTTCTCAGAGGAAAAAAAGAAACATGTTTTATCAATCAAAGCCTAATGTACAGTTTAATAAAATAATATTTTATCATATTATTATTCAACTTTAAATAAAATAATATTATAATTTAAAAAAAAAAAAACCGACTAAAGAAATTGGGAATGTACTTCCAGATCTATTTAAATATCCAGGTTAATGCAAGGTAAAGTTTAATGCATTTTTTAAAAATAATATAAGTGTGTTCAGCCCCCTACAGGTCCTTAATATCAGTGATGCGGCTGAGTGAGAGACGCTGGGATTTCCTTGAGCCCTGCCTTCCTTCCACGAGTCCCTATCCCCGTAAGCCTTGACTCAGAGTTCTCCTGAGTGAATTCATTTTGTAAATATTGTTAAAAAGTATACCGGTGTATAAGTTGCTATTTCGATAAGTTTAGTTTGTTTTTGACGAAAAAAAACAAAAAAAATCCTATTACTAATACTAATGTCGTTAAATG